CATCAGCCCCCCGACAGGCTGGGGAACTCCCTTCTCGTCAGGGCAGAGGCAGAAAAGGATCTTGGAGTCATCATTGATGCCAAAATGAACATGGGCCGGCAGTGTGGGGACGCAGTCAGGAAGGCCTTGTCGTGCATCCACAGATGCATCTCGAGCAGGTCTAAGGAGGTGATCCTCCCCCTCTATGCGGCACTGGTCAGGTCGCAGCTGGAGTACTGTGTCCAGGTCTGGGTGCCGCACTTCAGGAGGGATGTGGACAGCATGGAGAGGGTCCAGAGGAGGCCACTCGCATGGTCAGGGGCAGGAGGGCAGGCCCTACGAGGAGAGGCGACGGGACCTGAACCTGTTCAGCCTCCACAAGAGAAGGCTGAGGGGGACCTGGTGGCCGTTTACAAACTAGTCAGGGGGACCAGCAGGCATTGGGGGAGTCCCTCTTCCCCCGAGGACTACCAGGAGTGACAAGAAATAACAGTTACAAGCTGGCAGAAGGTAGATTTAGGCTAGATATCAGGAGGTGCTACTTCACCATCAGGGTGGTTAGGAGCTGGAACCAACTTCTAAGAGAAGTGGTGCTGGCTCCTACCCTGGGGGTCTTTAAAAGGAGGCTGGATGAACACCTCCCCGGGGTCGTTTGACCCCAGTACTCCTTCCTGCTATTGCAGGGGGCCGGACTTGGTGATCTGCTCAGGTCCCTTCTGACCCTACCAACTATGAAACCATGTTATAAGTCCCACTGTTTCACTGAGAGCCAATCAGGCTGGTTTGAGTGCTCCTGCCCCAAACTGGGGCACAATACTCAGCCACTGAATAAATGAGTGCCAGTGGCGATATTCTAAGAGCTTCTGCATCATTTCCTCAACTCATACTAGCCAGTTTTGAGATTATGTTGTGATGTGAGGCAAGTATGTTCTTAGTTATTTGTAAATGATGCCTATAGGCAAGACTGTGGTCAAAGGGGACTGTTAAATATTTGCGGTTGGGTTCACAGTTGACTGGTTTTCTACAAAAGCAGATTCATAGTCAGGTGTTTAACCTGGACATTAGTGAGATTACAAAAAACAAACCGTTTTGCCAGGGTTGGGCTTCAAATAACATTTATTAAAATGGTACAATATATGAAAAAATAGCATGTGGTCATGTAAACATATTATTTAATCCATATACACAAGACTGCATGGGAAACCATAACGCTGATATCTTAACTGCCATGTGCTTGACCCTTCAACCTAAAAGAATGCTCTTTTAACAGGTGTGTGAGCGTGTGCACAATGCCTTACTTCAAGACAAAACATTTAAAAAATGTTTTTATTGCACATGCTGGCTGTAGGGGGTGACTGATGGGAAGCTCAATGTCAGTTTTTCCCAACACTCAGACATGGGGGCTCCTGCTGCCTGTAGTCCCTGCCACCCAAAGGTGGTGGATCTGGGAATTTATGGATGGATCTCATGTCTTTCTTCCCCCATGAGGATTTGGGGGAGTTCCTGTTGCATGTGGCGACACTCTTAAAAGAAGTAAAGGAACTGAGCCTATATTGTAGGAGCCAAGCTTTGTTCTCTGTCCTACCCATGGGTACTTGAAAGAAGTATGGGAAGATGCTCGACTCCTCACACTCGTAGGAGTTCAGTGCAATGTATTTTTACTTTGGGTCTGCAATGTTAGCCTGCTCTAGGAGGATTCAGTGATTTTGGCAGACTCCCAAGAACTTTGAGAAATGGTGACTTCTTCATACATTATAACATAGCCACATCTG